TTCTGTAAAATTGAAAAAAAGCATTGATTGACGCAAATGTTTGCCAAAAAGTTACTCTAATACTCATTTATGAAATTAACTGTAACAGAAGCGAGAGTACAGTTGGGTTCTAATAATTTCATAAAAGTTAATGTTATTGTATAACAAAGCGATATAGAATTTAAAAAAAGATATATCTGGCACAATTAACACGATTCAATCAATCGAAATTTGAGAAATATTTTAAAATTTTCTGTTTGTACTTTCGGTGATTTTGATCGACATTAAAAATAAAAATAAAAAAAACATTTTAAAAATTAAGAGAAATTGAAGTGAAAAAGCTATATAGTCAACTCAAAGTTGCCTTTAGCTTTCTAGAAGGCGTGTCGGTTGGGCGATCACTGGTATATAAAAAAGTTCGTATCGATTAACGAGCTCCAAGCTCCAAGAATATACGTACTTGCCGTATAAGTACAAACTATAACAAATTATCTTATTATGTTTTTACTTAAAAAAAAAAAAAAAAATTAAAAACTAGCACTGATCCATAGAATTTCACAATTAAATGAAAATGAAGTCTTTATTTACATTCTTCTAGTCTATAATTTGCAATTTTTATTATATCGTTTTAGGATTCAATGGACAGACACAACTTCATGGAGGCAGTGGTCTATCTAGTTCTATTTTAAATTCACAGCAAAGTTCGCAGTCTCATGTAAATGCGAATGTCCAAGGAATGTTAGAATATTTAAAAAATCGTCAATTTGTCTAATTATTTTTTATCCAATAAAATATATATGTTAACATTGCAAATTGAAATTTAAAAAAAAATTGTAAATTTTTTTTTTTTTTAGTTTGATCTTAGATTTTTAATATTCTCGGCGGTTTGCTACATTGTTGTATTTTTTAGATCGATTTATGTTTCCAACTCTAGTCACTAGATGATGCTTGCTTAAAATAAATATTCTCCCTAATTTTAAAAAGTTCCAAAGTAAGATTAAATTTTTGTTTAAAAAAAATAAAAAAAATATTTAAATTTGTCATTCTCGGAAATTTTGAAAATAGTTTCTTTATATATAACTACAATTAATATTAGTCTACCCTTTTTCAACTCCACTTTGAAGCCGTAAGTTTTAAAGCAATGGCATCTTCTCCGAAAAAACAGTACATTCTTTAAAATAAACTTTTTGCAAAAAAGTTTAATTAAATATTTTAAAGATTCTAAATTTTTAAAGCATTATTAATATTGTCAATATTATTAATTAGTGCTAAAGTAGGACAAGCGCTCGCAAGTAAGACTCTCGATCCTATTCTTTAAGAAAGACCGACTTGTGGGCGAGTCTAAATAAATTCCTTATTGGCATTATGTTCTGCAGGGACTTTCAAAATGGCAATAAGCTGCATGCTGCTAATACGAATACCCAATACGGGCATTGGAAAACTTTTGGCTTTAAGGAAGGCAAATTGAGGAAGGCAAGTATTCCATTAGTCTAGCAATAGTGTAATCAAGGAGAGTCCTCATGAGAGTATTCATGACGGGTAAAAGCAACACAATAACAATCATTATTTGCTTTTAGCGTTAATTTAAAATTGAAGAAAACGTAAGTTTTTCCTTATTTACATTCGGAATGGTTGATAATCTCACACAAAGCAAATGAATCCCGGAAACGTTGTTGTTGCGTAAGAAAATTGCGTGGATTGTGAAGATCTTTAGTGGCAATCTACATTATCTATATTAATCTTCATTAATCAGCATTAAAAACCATATTTTGTAAACTTTATAAAGTCTGCATAATTCTCAAAATTTTAATGATAGTGTTGCCATGTTACCGCGCGTTGAATAATTCTTTTATAAGCAATGCCTTGTGCTGTAAAAATAGTACGATGTGTATTTTGTCATCCCATTTGCACACATATTTACTTGTTGTTGCTACTTCGTTTATTTATCACAATTTTGATATAAACAACAACTGTAAATTATTATTAATCTTTAAAATTGTTACTACCAAAAATGCAATAAACTCGATTTTTGCAATGTAAATTGTCATTTAATTTAAATTAAAACATTTTTTCCAAAGGGACTTACTCCGTACGATAAGAAATTTTTTTTGAAAAACGAAACGGTATAAATAAAGTGCTAACACGCCAGTACAACTTGTTTCCCTTGTTTTTTAATTAAATGATGCACACTCTCTTATGACTACAATTTGAAATTTTTGCAGTTTCCAACACTTAAAATGTATCCAAATGTTTTCATTGCTTTCTTATTTCTTAGTTTTATTATTACTTCTACATAATTTAACAAATTTGGAAAAAAAAAAGTAGTTACAAATTGAAGAAGTAAACGGAATTTTGAAAAATCCTCAGTAATTTCCATACATGCTATCGTTGCCTGTATATATTTTGCTAATTCACTTAAAAGGTAATGTGTGCTTTCATGAATGCTATGTAAGTTCCATACGATGAGTTATTTCCTGAATTTAGCAAAAGAGCAAATGACAACATTTACTTGCAATTTTAAGTTAAAAATAAGCAAAAAACATTTTCACTCGCACTTTATTCTACAAAGTAATACTAAATAAGTCTTGCGTTTTTAACAAGAAGAATGATGATATAAAATGGCGAATTTATCGCCCACTCAGAATCAATCATTATGTTTATAGACTTCCGTGAAAGCATTTTTTATAGAATTGAAGTGCATTGGATTATAAGTTTGGATTTGGTCAGATAATTAAGGAAGTGAACACGGATTTGTCTTTGTACGCATTGAAATGATTGATTGAATTAGCACCGAGACGGGCTTTAACGTATCGAATGCCTTCTATTCCTAACTTACATGTTCAAACCATTAAATTAAATGAGATTTTATATCCTCTAGTGGAAAGTGTTTTTCTCTCAAAAACGGATCTTATATCTGCAGTTTAATTAAGTAACTTATAATAGTGATATCTTATAACAATAAAATAACAATAACAACACTAATAGGAATGCTATAAAAATAACAATGATAATGTATTAATAATGATACAACAATCAAACAGTAGTAACAATGATAATTATTTCAGATATCAGTATTGTAGCCCGTTAAACCAGAATAGTTAGTCGTGCATTATCAAAATCTACACAGCAACCACGGCGTCGTTGGAAAATAGGCATATCGCTAACCCATTCGTTGAAAATATATTGACGCGGCCGCAAAGTAACCAGCGCGACTTAACAGATGCCCGCCAGATTGCTTCTTGTAGTCTTAAATCTATATTAACTGATCGAAATCTTTATAAAAAACTGGATGAAGAAGAAGTGAATAAATTGTCTAAAAAAGGAACGAACAATCTCTTTGACCAAGTACGCTGTAATATCGCTACTAAAAACTGCGAATCAGTATTGAAAAGTGTCACATTTGGAAATCAAGTTTACCCAGATAGAACCAGAAGCATACCAAGAATCATCCGGTCACCGAATGTTTATACCCCGTCAGACCAAGTAATCTCATGTAGAGAAAATCTTGAAAGTGAACCAAAATTTGTGAAGTATCCCAATTTAAATCAAAACCACATTTTTGACGAAATCCCACCTTATGCAAGCAGAATTAATAAAGAGTGCGCGGAGAAGCCATCACCTGTTAAAGTTTTTAAATTAACTGCTAACGATGAGAATACAGATCCTGACGATTACGATTGCAGCAATACAACAGGTTTAAGAAAAAATTCATCGATAAGTATTAAATCGCATCGGTCGACACACGGACAGATTAATTTGAAATTAGATAACGAAATTATAGAAAATAATTCTCGATCTGTACCAACAAATAATTTTTTGTGCGACCGATTAGTAGGAGGTAAAAACGGTCCGTTTGAATATAATAAGGAGGATGAGTCCAATTTACCGCGTTTCTTACCAGCAGCATCGTCGCATTCCTTATTGAGAACAGCACAATCGGATATAAATGAATATTCTTATCCCCTTATCTCGGGTAGACTTAACTTATTACGTCATACCAACGAACGTACGTCTTCTAATTCATTTGTTGATGAAGAAATAAGCGAATATGAATTGCCTTCCTCGCGTTACAGAGCAACAATAAGTAATTATGAAAATGATTACGGAGAAAATTACGAAAGAATACCAGATGCTTTTAGCTATGATAGTAGTGTCAATACCAATCTCCGATCGCAAGATATTGCGTCAAGTTCCTATATAAGCAAACCAGGTAATAAACTTTATTTGATAACACCATCAACAGGAAGAAGTCCATCAAAGCAAAGAAAGAAACCAGAATATAAACCGAGAGAATTAGTTTTAAGGAAAGATTTAATTTACAGTAAAAGAAAATCTCAAGGGAACTACTCTTATCAAACGAACAATATGTCGAGCGATAACAATGAGGAAGAGGAATGCTCTGTACGAGTGGCTATTCGGTAAGTAAAAGCACAAAAACGCTATGAATTTGATTCCAATCTTCTAGGTTGCATGGAACGACTGTTAATGTATGGAATTAAATAAACGCTGCTATATAGATAGATCTTTTATGCACGTAAAATCTAAAATTTGTCGGTGCTCATTTTAATAACTTATTCACACATACACCCATTATATATAAAGCATATAGGTGTAAAACGCAGATGTGAGAGACGAATGCCATATGTAGTTTAAAGATTAGATATATATGACGTTTTATTGTGTAATCAAAAAATATCAACCGCTCAAAAGTACTAAGTTGAAAGCCGTTTGCCCTATTATTTTGATGTCTCCAATGCACCGAAACATGTCTCAAGTAAAGTGCATTCGCGGCTAGCCCTAATTTTTGTATTTATTCATTTTAGAAAATTTTTGCAGCAGCCAGACAGATGCTTCAGAATCCCTATATAGTAAATACATAGTTTAGCGGTATCATACTCTGATGTAACCATTATCCTAGTCGCCAAGATGGAAATCCGTCCTTGCATACGAGAAATGAATTTATTTTGAGAATCATAACGGCAAAAGATCATGGATAGTGGAAGTACTCAATAGAGGACTTGATATTCCATGTGGCTTACTATGATTGGTTCCTTCCAATTACCAGTTGTTTGCGCCGACGATTACTCATTTGCTAAGCAGCAATAAATGTAGAAAATTTTCACTGGCGTAGCATTCGCAATTTGACTGAAATATGGGAACAATTTCCAGCCAGCGATGGAGCATTCTCCTGTTCAGACAGTATTATCATTTTTCTAAATTTAACATGAAAAAATCATGGTTTCTTTTTTCCTTAAACATAGTTAAGTTTCGGATGAGTAACCGATTTTATAAGTGTTTCTATAAAGACCTATGTAGATGGATGTTTCTAATTTGTGATAAGCGTTAAGAAACACAAATAACGGCTAAGAATCTTTGACGAAATTTTGCTTTTGATTTAATTAAAATTTTGTTTTTATTTTTTTGGAAATCAATATAGCTTAGATTCAAAGGCGTTTTTCCTCGATAACTTTATTAATGCTTCTCCGTAGTTTTTTTTTTACATCGATTAGTTCATTGCCATCCACGAAATGAATTTCTCGAATTAAATTATTATACTTCCAAACATGTAAATTCAATCGCCACCTCCTATGACAGTAGAATATACCAAATCCTACCACAATAAATAAAATTTGCATATTCTGAGAAAGTGTCATTTCCGTTCCCAGCACAGATAAACGTATACGTGTAAATAGCAACGCCATTGTCTTCCTGCCATCGCCAAATATAACTAATGGTAAAAAAATAATAACGAAAATATATAAAGTACTAATTATTTTCTGTGTTTGAAAGAGAAAAACTTCGTGCGCTTTCATTTTACCCGAAAATGAAATAATTAAAATTATAAACAAGTATACTGACATTAAAGCTACGGTTTACTAAAAACCAAAATATATATATATATATCTAATAATATTATGACATTGTCATATTAGATTTTGCAATGGAAACCGATCAATTAGAATAAACTTTTATTGACAGTATGCCAGCATTAGGTTAAATTTCTAGGGAAGGAGTTAAATTTTCAAAGCTTATTAATTAAAACTTCTCGCTTTTCAATAATTTTACTATAAAATATATACGATAATGACTTCAAGTGTTAAATACGATTTACCGTAATAAACTTCTTTTTTTTTTGGATTACTAAACGCAAGCTTATAAAATATTTTTATTCAATTTTAGAATACGACCTCAAAATTCCCGTGAAATAATTGATATGTGCCGGATTTGCACATCGGTTACACCCAGCGAACCGCAAATCAATCTTGGAGTGGATAAAGCATTTACATTCGATTATGTATTTGATACAGATACAGCACAGGTAAAAAAAATATCTCTACATTCGTAATCTTTGAAGTAGTATTTCAGAAATTAAGAAAGATTTTTTTCTCGTTTTAAAACGCAATTTTTGTAACGGTTCAATATTCAGTTTTATGGCTATGGCTAATTTCTACAACAAAAGCGTGATAAAAAATAAAATAATCAGTCTATTCTCATACCGTGTCCACACTCCAATTTCGGTTATTTCTTATAAAAATATAATTGATTTCAACCTTATAAAAATACAACTGATTTCAACTTTTTTTGTATTTAACTGTGCTCGTCTTCGCAGCGCGGTCATATATAGGATTAGTCATTTCCGGGCCAATTATCATCATAGCAATTCACAATCAATTATCACCATATAAATTTTTAGAATTACGTCAAAACTCACATTTTAATTTTTTTTTAATTTTTATAATTTATTTCGATTTTATGTCGTGTCGCATTAGCAAAAATGCGTTAATGGTACGACATAACATAAACGCGTTTTTTTTTTTGAAGTAGTTGTCTTAATACTAGTTGTGATCTGAATGAGTTAAAGAGATCGACTTCAATTTCATGTAAAGGTGAAGATCGCTCTATTTAGTTGGGTTTTTTATTTAGTTCATATCTTTAAGGTTTTCCAAGTTCTAAATGAATCAAATGAACTTTGCCTTAAGATCTTCGGAAGGTCATTTTCTCTTCAATTTCGTTATATATAAAAAAAAAAAAAAAAATTAAATTAATGTCAATTTCTTTGCATATTTATGTATTAACGTACATATGTTTTTATATCTCATACACATTACAGCCTGACATCTATCAACATTGTGTTGAACAATTAGTAGAAGGAGCTTTACGTGGATATAATGCCACTGTTCTGGCTTATGGGCAAACAGGATCTGGGAAAACGTATACAATGGGTACAGGATTCGATTATCATCTAACTGAAGAGGAACAAGGAATTATACCAAGAGCACTTTTCCATATATTTTCGCGCATAGAAGAAGTGCAATTACAAGCAATTGATGATGTTAGCGATACTGAAACCGTGCAATTCAATATTGCCGTACAATTTATTGAACTATATAATGAGAATATAGTTGATCTTCTTGAACCTTATTCCAAGGGGCGCATTCATAAAATTCAGGAGAATGAATTAGGACTTATTACTGTCTCAGGAGCAAGTATCAAACCCATCCAAAGCCCTCAGGAAGCATTAAGGTAAATAACCAATAGAGGCGTAGAAATCTTTGACATAAGGTACCGCCAATGCTTGCCTCATTTGGTGCGTTAACTGTATCTCATATGTCTTTGTTTTCGGACATTATAAGTAATAGCGGAAATGAGAAAGTAATGAGATTATTATCGCTAGCTTCTACTTGGTAATCAGAAATTAATTAACAATAGATATTTTTCCCGATTCAATTTGATAGACCTCTTGTAGCTTTTGTACTGACTCTTATGCAAAAATGCATCATACGTGCTAACGGGTGAATTCGTGTCTAAAAATGTATACGATTCACCTTTAGACAAAAATATCGAATACCTCGAGTCAGTAGCGTGTAACGTACACATTTAAAATTAGGAAAGAAGCTCGTATACGATATTGGTTTACAAGATATAGCAAAAGTACATTTAGCTGATATGCTGATCGCTTCCAAATTGTCTTAATAAGATATAGCAAATATTGATTTATGCGGTAATATCGACCGTCTGGATATAAGATTTTGCAGATCTCCTCACAGATAACTAAGCAAATTATACAGCATTTCCTTACCCCACCCTGTTTACTACATTAGTTTTCGGTATTTTCCCTTTGTTTTAACTGTTTTCCATTAATCCGTTTGATTGACTCGTCGATTTTCGCAATTAAAATAATGGAAGCGATAAGAAAAAAGTTTGACATCAAATTTGTTCTTACAAAGAAAATGATAAAATCATAACGGGAGCTTCATAATTTGAAAGACATAGGTTTATCGGCTGGAACTCTTTGTACTGATCAAGAATTAATAATTTGAAGCGATCTCTTTCTTATATCCATAAGCATTTGACAATGTGACCTATTAAAAAGGGATGGGAGTTTTCGTCATACACTTTAAATGGTAAAAGCAATAAATTTGTTAAAACTCTTATGGACATATCTTTCTTTGTCGTATTCAAGTTACGTTAATTAACGAAGAGTTCATTGAAGTAACCAGCGTCTGTTCAATTGCAATTATATTATTTTCCAATTATATCCGATCTCATTACTCTTTCTTGTTTTCACCGAACAAACTGTTCTGTTTTAGCAGAAATTCGTCTGTAGCAATTGAAAACAAAAAACAAAATGAATGTATTTTACATAAAGATATTATAATAATGTACTTTTAATAGGTATTTGCAACAAGGTGCCCTGGCTAGGACGACCGCTTCAACGCAAATGAATATCCAGTCCTCGCGATCTCATGCGGTGTTCACTCTGTTAATACGCCGCCTGTCGCAAAATGAATACGATGTAGATGAATATGTAACATTAACGTCTAAATTTCATTTTGTTGATTTGGCTGGTTCTGAACGACTTAAACGAACTGGCGCTACTGGAGACCGAGCTAAGGAGGGAATATCAATAAATTCCGGTTTGCTGGCGTTGGGCAATTGCATATCTGCCTTAGGCGACAAGTCAAGGCGAGCAACCCATGTTCCCTATAGAGATTCAAAACTGACACGTCTGCTTCAAGATTCTCTTGGAGGCAATAGTCAAACATTAATGATTGCATGCATATCGCCTAGCGACAGAGATTTCATGGAAACGCTAAACACACTAAAATATGCCAATCGTGCCAAAAACATAAAAAATAAGGTTCAACTCAATCAGGATCAGAGCTCCCGTACAATCGCTCAATTGCGTAAAGAAATCGCAAGACTTCAACTTGAATTAATGGAACTTAAACAAGTAAATAAATTTTGAGCTCTTTAAATATAGTTCCGGGATATGTGCATAAGAAGCTTCTTCAAAAATGAACATGGAACACATATTAATTTATCTTTCCTAATTATTTTACACGAATCAATTGTTGTTTTTGTTGTAGAAGGGGAGTTTTTGTCGTTAATTTCGATTTAATTTTTTTTTTTTATAAAACTCTAAAAATTTGCATTTTACTTAAAAACGGAACTAATTTTGAAGGTCATACATAGCTCATAGAAGTGATTTATATTTTATTTATTTTTTTTTTTTTTAGGGCAAACGTGAAGTTAATATGGAAGGAAAATCGTTTATGACCGATACTTTTCATGAAAATGAAATGTTGCTACTGGATAATAAACGTCTCCAACAACGTCTCAAGTCAATGAATGAAGCTATCAATGCGCTTACCGAAAGGAATACCCAATTAAGGCTTGAAAAAGAAATGAATAATTGGCCATCGTTAGTAGAAACAGACCAATCTGTAAAAAATTTGATTCAAGGATATATAAGTGAAATTGAAAAATTGCAGGCTAAGTTAATTGAATCAGAAGAAATGTACCAGCAACTCAGAAAGAATGACAAGGGTTTAGAGGCAATGCGCAACGCTAAATTTCATTGCACATATCAAGGTAACTCTAGACATGAGCTATACATGAAGCCATTGTAAATTTAAATATCATATAATCAAATATTATCGATTGGTTTCACGAGATCTTGCTACAATTGCATTGAGAGTTAAATGAGTTTTATAGCATTTGATTTGAAAAAGGGATGGCACTCAAAAAACAGAAATAAATAAATAAATAAACTTGATCGCCAATAGGTAATTAGCTTAACTTTAATTCGTAACCAAAAATTAATTACTTAAGTTTAGTTAAGTTTTAATTTTAATGCTAAGAAGATGGGCTACTGTCAACCACAAAAGGATGATTTTTGATAAGCACGATTATAGAATTGTGAATTAGCACGTGAAGTACATCCGTCCATCTGCTTCATTATTAAGCTCAAGCATGCAATCTGCATGGATTTCTGTAACAAGGCAGCCAGGTAATATTTCATTTAATAGTCTCAGATTAGCTGTCGCCGAATACACATATGTACACATCTTAGTAAAGGCAAGCTGCATTCGTTAATATGCCTTTATAATGATAATTTTTTCTAAATATTTATTGTGCCTTTGGGGATATTATATGAACAAGTTGAAGCAAGGAGTGAAGAATTGAATTAGATAGCGGTAAAGCTAACGAGACTAGCAAAAATTTATAGATAAAGCAAATGATAGAGATACAAACACATAAGGAAAAAATCGAAAAATGAAGCTAAAATGACCATGCCCTCTTGCATAAAAATATAGAGATGAAGGGGACGAAAGTTTTGTCAATAGAGAAGTAAGTAATTTGCCGGACTAGTCTCACACGCGTGTTCTGGACGCCCTTATAGACGAAGTTTTAATCCAATATAGTCATAGGTCAGCTTTTCGTTTATTACTTGAACCTATTGGTTGATTTGTCCAGTTTTCCTTTTGACACGAAAGCGAGCCGAACGCGCTCAGTTTCAAAATATTGAAGTCTCAGATTTCTGTTTCAACGTTTGCACGTGGAAAAAACGAGCGACAAATCGACTCTGACGACAATTATATAATTGCTTAGAAGGAAATCTGCTTTGCTCATTTAAATGTTACAAGCGGAATAACAACTTTCGTACGCACTCATCTTTATCATTGATGTGTATGAAGAACTAAATGCAAAAATCCATCGATAAAGTGGCCGCACAGGAACGGTCATAACTTGGTTATTGCTTAAAAAATTTCCATTCATTTAAACTAATATTTCGTAATAAACGTCGAACTTTTGCAATCCATTTCAGATCCTGAGGATCTTATTAAAGAAGCTAAGCGGGAATTGGAAAAGGAAAAAAACATAGAGAGTGCGCGTTCTTCAAACAAGGAGTCCATCGATTCGGATGAAAGTGAGCAGGAATCCCAACAAAAATGTGAGTGTAATGAACGTTTGCATTTCCCTTGAAAATCTTTAACTTTAAAAACTCCTATGAAAAATAAAACATTGTTTGCGACAATTTGTTTTTTTTTTTTTTTTTGTTTTTCAAAAATCACAAAATGAAATTTATTTTTTACTTTTTAATGTCACTTTGTTGACGGGATGACCAATATGACGCTTAAAAGTCTATTCAAATTTTGTCGACAAAATTGTAATCCACTTAATTAAATTAGTATAAGTTGATAATTACATTTTTATATTTATTATTTATATTTTATAAATTTTTTTTAAATGAAAAAACTAACTTTATTCATTATTTATTATTATATTCAGGTCAAAGTAAAAATTTTTTTAAATATTCTTTCCTTGAAATTAGCTAACGATGTGGAGGAAGATCTCGAGGATGTAAATAATGATATTGAGATAAAAACTAAGCTAATCCAGCAATTGGAACTTTCACAACAGCGAATGCAATTGATGCGACAACAATATGAAGATAAATTAATGCTTCTAAGTTCTCAAGTGATTAACACGCAAAAAGAGCGAGATGAAGTATTATCGTTTATTGGTAAGTCAAAATTGTGCTTTAAATAAATAAACGTGTGAATGATTCTACCACAATATAATATTCGCCAATTCTACTTAAGTTTATTAACATGGGTAGCCGTTATTCCTTGTTTCACAAAAAGAAAAGTTGAAAAAATTATACAAAACATAATAGCTTATGAATATATTCCATATATAGATATGAAGCCGGTCTTAACTGTGCAAACACAAACACAATAACAAATTTGCATTAAATCGCTTGGATTGTCTCACGCTTATTAGAACATTTTAACTATTTAATAACCTAATGTTTTATCAAAACTTCGATTTCAGTCGCTGATCGTTATTACGTTGGCTTCGCTAATGGGAAGATTCTTGTTGCTGGCGTTATTCAATTATCTAAATCACTAGTCGTTTGTGCTTTTGTATATCGTTTATTATCGGCAGTCTAAAAGCACTTCAAGAAAATTTCGTAGATCTATTCGGATGGCATCTGTTCCTAATATAAAGATTTCAATTGCGATGAATTCACAGAAACTCAAATTGCACTGGTAGGAACTAATCTTTTGTTTCACAAATATAGCTTCTACTCTTTACTGTTTATCTTAGAAAATTTTCAAAAGGCGTCGTGATGTGTAATTCATTAGGAGAAATCTTAGCTTAGGGCTTGCCGGCTTTGCAGAAAGAAAGTATTTTTTGCAGTGATTAAGCCGCAAGAAACTTTTAAAAGGCAAACTCATCGAAATCTAAAAATCGTGTTACTTTACGGGCGGGTTCTTTTAGTACTTGATAGGATTCGAGCAAATTATTCTTGAAATTTTTCTTCAAGATCGCTACAAACGATATCAGGTATACAAAGAATTTGTTAGCGGGGGGTTTAAGTAGAAAAAAAAAAAAAAAAAAAAAAAACAGAACATTCAACTTTTATTCAAACGCTCCACAGATTTTAAATATTGGTTGTCAAAGATTTTCAAAGGCTAGATGCATTCATCATTCACGCTTAGCGGATTGCATATACTAAAGCTTTCACGTAATTTTAGTTTATCATACGATATTGTTTACATTAGGGAACTTCAAGCGGGCATATGGTTACCTACTCTTTACTATCTATCGGTTTTTTTTTTTTGTTTTTAGCAATAATTTGAAATTGTATAAACTTACACAGTGGAAGGTTATATATAAATACTTTAGTTCTTTCGATTCGCCGTGGATGCCTACGGGAATTATAAGCATAGCTCGGTCAGTTTGAATTTTCAAGTTCTATCTTCAGATTTACCAGATAAAATTAACCTAAAGTAGTTTGAATATTTCCACGAATGAGAAAATGATCAAATTGAAATTGAATCGATGGTCTCGCCAAGAAATCCCACAAACATAATCTAATCTCTCATCATTATCGTTTTGCATTAATCCTATGTATGAATTGCGTGTATATATTTTGAATGTTGAGATTGCGTGTGGACTTTATATTTTATACTAGGTATACAAAAGAACGATGAATTTTAATTGCAGGATCAAATGGGGACAATCAAAACTCAGATAAAATGAAAAAAGTGAAAGCTGAGTACGAACAAAAAATAAACAATATGCAAAGGGAAATTAAAAAACTTCATCAGGCTCAACGAGAACACAACCGTCAACGGCAAGAAATCATTTCTCAAGAAACAAAATTGAAAAATCTACGCTCTCAGTTAGAGGAATTAAAATGTAATAAGGTAAAGGGAATAAAAATGAATTTAACTTAAACTTACAACAAGAACAATTAAAATACGTATGAATTCAAGCGGAAAATGTTATATAAGATCTTATTTATATTCGTTTATTTAGGCTCGTCTAATTAGGAAACTTGGTGAGCAAGCGAGCAAATTCAGAATGGAAGAAACGCAAAAGATTCGTGAAATTGCGCAACTAAGAAAGGAACAGCGAAAGCAAGAGAATACGGTACGATCCTTACAAGCGAGAATGCAAGCAAAAGAGCAAGTTTTAAAAAGAAAAACCGAAGAGGTCACCTCTTTACGACGTAGCCAAAGGTCGATTAGAAGAAATTTTCGTTCCAGAATTGACAATTCACAGAATTTTGATACACGTTTAGCACGAAAGCAATGGTATAATATGTCACATGT